TGTCTCATTATACCATCTCAGGCCCATGCAGCCTCTCACACTTAAGCACTGACAAGGTGATGTCAACTAAGTCTGTGAGTCATCAGAGCTGCTAATGTATTAGCCAGTCGGGAAAATGCTAGCTGTCAACCGACCTGATACGGCACTGCCATACGGCACTGCCATACTTGCTTCCAGTGTTGCCCAGTGACCACTCGTGGTATTGCAACAAAAATGCCAGGACAGGACACCTCGAACTACAAACAATGTCAATAAGGTTTTAATTTATAAAACTGTCCTAAAGCAATAAAAAACTTGTGAAGCCATCACAATGTAAGGTCTATAGAGCAAGCAGGAACAAACCCCTGGAAGTATTAGGGTGACAGCACTGGCTGCAGCCAGGATGAACAAAGGCATTAAAAAGTCGACTTGGAAAATTCTGACTTTTCACTTTGCAAACTTATTACATGTGTGAAAATATATGAAAGAAAGGGAAAAAGCCAAAAACTATAAATATAATAACGAGAGATTTTTTCTATTGGTCAACAGCGCAGTGTCAAAGATTGTCAAGTTAAACTCTTCACACAAAATTTGCACAGAATTACTTCACCCCCGTGATCAAATCCAAACAGATATAATGACCTGATTTTGCCACAAAATTTTCATGTAAAAGTTTCTCCTAATTTAAACAGTGACACATAAAAAGCTAAAACTTTTAAATCTTTTAGTTAAAAATGCGATCAATAACCTTCAGTGTGCATATGCATCTTCGTATGGATCTTTTTTCTTTTTTTTTTGTTACATACAAAAGTTTGTGGCCACCTGAACATTATACTATTTAACAATTCACTCCAAAAGCAGATACATGCACCCTTCCCTATTCTGGTTTCAGGCTTTCCACAAGATTTTGAACCTTGCTACAGGGATTTTCTCTCATTCAGCAAAAAGCGAGGTCTGAAACTGATGTTGGGTGATAAGGCCTGGCTGGCAGTAGACATTTCAATTCATCCTGAAGGTGGTGGCGGTCAGGGCTTCGAGCAGGCAATTCATTTTCTTCCAACCCAAACTCAAAACATTTCTTCATTAACCTGGCTTTGTACAAGGAGTTGTCACATTGACAGGAAGGGACCTTCCCAAAATTGTTGCTTCAAAATTGGACGTGCTATTTTTAATATCTATACAGGTGGTATTTCGGTGCAGTATTAAGCACCTGTCAGGTCTGCATGTCTCAGGGGATAATCTGTTCTGTATTTAAGTTTGAATGAATTTATCATGTGGGGGTCTTTTCCAACTGTGCAGCAATATCTTTGATTTTACTGCGAATATATACAGTAACTCATAATCAGCAAACATAATATAGCAGCTCCTCTGAGGCAGTTGAGGTGAAAGACCTATTTTCTTCACAGCAATGCCTGCTGTAGAGACTGAAAAGCCGTTGTAGGCAGCGGGGAGAGGAAATGAGATCGATACTCTTTCAGCTTAGTTATAATTTCCTTCTAATGTGAAATTATATAAGCGATTACAAAGCTTGAAATTTTGGTGTGTTATTGTGTTAGAGACTTACCTCTCACCCTCCATCTGGAACTCGCTAGTTCCAGATGTGATTGCTTCAGCTCATATTAGTTCTGTTTATTTGATTTGCAGCCCTTTTCCTCCACTGGTCATTAAATCCTGGATAATGTTCAGTTTTTTTTTCAAATCCCCTGAGCTCCATACAATTAAAGGTCATGATCACCCAGTGATTCGCTTGATTATAGACTTCATTCTAATTGGTGAGCTATTCAAACTGGTGCAGAGACTGGGTAAAAGGTCAAATGCATCTCAGGCGGTGGCAGCAGTATGAAAAGGTGTGGGTTGCCAGAGGAGGGCAGTCTATTATTAATTTCATTATACTGTACATCTTTATCTGTATTGTTGCTAAAGGAGACCCAAGAACTCAACTGCTGCTGAATAGATGTTTGGCTTTGTCTGAGCTTGAACAGCAGGATCACTGCAGTGAGATTACAAAGGGGGGAGTACTCACACTTATTTGCGTACTTTAAAAAAAAATTTCATAACATGGGCATTGTTTACATCGTCACCTATTTTTACAAGCTGGAGAAACTGAGGATTCAATTGCAGACACTGAGACAGGAGTAAAAGGAAAGTCACAGTGGATTTATTAACAGTTGTGTTGAGTGAGTTCCTACTAGCAGTGAGTCTCTCTGTGCAGGCAGGAGGTGGAAAAACACAGTGTACGCTGATTAAGGCAGACAGACGGAATACTGCTTTCTCCAGGACCAAGACCTGAGGCACACGCAAGAACCAACACAGGAATCAGGAACAGAGCAAACAATCGTGTAGAGCTGGTGTTGAAGTACTGCAGGTTTTGATTGTGGAATGGCTCTCAGATGTGCACAGGAGCCACGGGTGACTAAATGAGTGCGGCTTCAGGAGGAGAGCCAGGAGCGCCATGCCCAAATACACACACCCACACACAGAGAAGATAGAAACACTAGGAATGGGAAAACAGAGGAAATACTAGGGCTGTGAGGATAGTACAACCGGATCATGACACCCATGTATAGTAAGTAGCTGTAAGTAGCCACATATCATCTTATACACGATTAATGGAGCAATTGTTTCCCTCATTAAATTGCATCTTGTTTCCAATTAATGTTAGGCAGCAGTGATGTGGCTGTTTTAATCACAACTCCAGTACATTTAGAAACAAATTAAAGAGCTGCAGATGGTTTACAGAGTTTCTTACTGTTGTGTGTGTGTGTATGTCCAATTATATTTTTGTAGTTTTACCAACCACAAGGCACACACTGCCTTCCTATGTCACCGATGATTACCCTTGAGCTGACTGCACCATTTCAAACCATGTGTCTGCGTCAAGTTTTTTATATTTGTACTTGTTTTCAGATTTTGACGAAAGACACAAATAAATAAATACCCAGATTCATTGATAGGATTCATCGGAGCAGCCCAGCATGTTAGTTTAATGTTGATGTGACGTTTTACTGCTTGAATGAATGAGAGACTAGTTTACTTTACTTATTAGTTTACTTTATATGGACAACAACAGGTTAAATGGGATCTTATAACCTTTATCTGAAATCTTTGCATAGTCAGTAGTCTTGCAAGGGCACGATTTAACACATGCCAGATTACATTACGGGATATATAGCATGTATTTAAAGGAATAGTTTAATGTTTGGGGTAATGAGCCCATCTTTGTTCTTGCCAAGAGTTATTTGAAAAGAATGATACCACTCTTATGACTGTATACTTAATATGAAGCTGCTGCTAGCAGCCAGTTACCTTAGCTTGGCATAAAGACTGGAAGAGGTAAATATCTAACCTAAAGCTGTCCAAAGGTTTAAAAATCGTCCTAGCAGCACTTCAGCTCACTAATTTACATACCAAAATCAGAAATGCTTTGTTGTCCATCAGAAGATTGATGTAAATTAAAATGGTCTTTATGCTAAGACACGTAAATTAGCTGATGGCTGTAGCTCCATATTTACTGTACGGACAAGAGAGTGGTGTCAGTCTTTTCATCAAAATCTCAGCAAGAAAGTGAATTAGTGTATTTTCCAAAATGTCGAACTGCTCATTACATACATTGGCCATGTATTAATTCTCCGTCCCTTTTGACTCTGCTGCTCCTGTCAGTCACCTGTCCTTGCTTCTCCATACACACCATCCCTCATTACCTTGTTAGGCCCCTGTGTATTTACTATTTGTATCAGCCACATTCTCATTTACCAGATCATCAGTGTCGTTCTACTGATACGGTGGTCCACTCATGCCCATGTACCTCTAAACCTGTAAAGAAGGGCCTTTAATTCAGCTTGCTCTGCCGCAAGTGTCTGCATTTGGGTCTCCTTTTCCATGTTTCCTCATACAGAGTCACTACAACGTGTCGGTAAAGAGGCTTGTAAAACCCTAAAGGTTTCAAACACACGTATCTGCTGTGTTTACTTTTCTGGCCAGAGGGTTCTGCTAAGGAACAGGATGTTTTAGTGAGCAACATGTATGCTATTAACCTCTCTGGAGGGTCTCTGCACCACAGACCATATGAGAACAGTGCTGTTTTATTTCTGTAATTTCTTTAGCTAGTGTCATGGATCTAGGGATGCCTAGCTCTGTTGGTCGGTCAGTCCACCACTTTGGTCCAGACAAAAATATATAAACAGCAATTGGATTGATTGACCCGACAGACATTCATGGTCCCCAGAGGATGAAACCTGATTCCTTGACTCTTCATCTAGTGCCACCAGCAGTTTTCTCTTGTCCAGTAAAAATATCTCATATCTACTTGATTGGTACCAAACTCTGTGGAGACATACAGTAGTTGTACCGTACACTAAAGACTTTGGTGATGATCCTCTAATTTTTCCTCTAGTGCTGCCATGAGGTTTTGTGTGAAACGTCTACTATTTAATGTATATACATGAGATTTGGTACACTTTCCATCTAGCGCCATCATCAGGTCAAAATTTCATTGTGTCCATTACTTTGGTTTATGACCAAACTAATGACATTCCCATCAGCCTCTGCTGTAGTTTGTGTTTAGTGCTAATTAGCAAATGGTAGCATGCTAACAAGGTAAACTAAGATCATCAAAAAATGAGTTTCTGTGGAATTTAAAACCACAGGCTCACCCTCAGATGCACTGCAGCCATGGAGAGTTTGCTGTCAGCACAATGGTGAGTAAAGCAAATCACTGAGAGGTGCCAGGTGAAGTCTGTGCTCGACATACGGGCCAGTGAACAAGTAAAATGATAAATGCTCCCGCTGGTGAAAGTGATGAAGGATAGATGGTGTACAGAGATGTGTTGCTGAAACCTATAATCCGTCTATTCAGTGTCATTTAAAAAGAAAATCGATACTCTTGAGCAGCAGGTGAAGTTGCTCCTTTTTTTTCTTTTTCACTTAGGACACAGAACTGCATCTGTGATGTTTTTTAAATGGAATGGCATCAGATGATGCTGCATATCTTACCTACATGTCTTTTGATTGTCTCTTTTTAGGAATACCAAATCGACATCATCTTTGCCCAGACGTGGACGGACAGCCGTCTCAGTTACAACAGCACAATGAAAAAATTGACTTTGAACAGCAATATGGTTGGACTTATTTGGCTACCAGATACCATCTTCAGAAACTCCAAGAATGCAGATTCCCACTGGATTACAATGCCTAACCAGCTGCTCAGAATATGGAACGATGGGAAAATACTTTACACCTTAAGGTAAAAATCGTTTTTTGGCCACTTTATCCCTGATATAGTAAAACCAAAGCTATCCTTTTAGAGTGGAGGACTTCTGTTACCTACTTCTGTTCCTCAGTGAAGAAATACAATACAAATGCAAAATGTATGTTCTGCACACCCAAGCAAATCTTAAGTGAATATATTCTAATTGTGTTTATCATTAACGACAGCTATAAATAAATGATCAATCACAACTTATAACAATGAGTTTGCATGTCTAACATCAAATTGCATATGTTGGAATGCACAGAAAAGTGACAGCAGGACACCAGATTACTTTATGACTGGACATGGGACAACTCCATTATTTCGGGAGAATAGTCTGGGTACGTTTTTGAATATTCCAAACTAGTACCCACATAAACTGTAGGAGGTTGGTAAGGCATGGATATACCTTATACTTTTTTGGTTTTCCTACATGCGCCTCATTGAGTGCAGAAGCTCTGAGGTTGACATTTCTTTAGCCACACTACCGACATACTGTAGCTCTATGGATGACAATGTTGCTTGGTGGTCAGTCCATCACTTTGGTCCAGACTGAGATATCTCAACAACTATTGGAAGGATTGGATGAGTTAAATTGAGAGCTTTTACTTAAGGCCCATGCTTTTGAATGTTCATTCAAAAGAGTCTGTGGCTTGCTTGACACACCTCTGAAATGGATGTCAGGAAATGTGAGATTGAATTGCCCTGAATGAGAAGCGCAGGAATGTCCTCTGTCTGGGAAAATGAAAATAATGGTCCTTAAGGTGATGGATGTAGACCAGTCGCCGGGACGTACATACTCCAGCACAAGCTTTATTGTGCGCATGTGAAATAGTCTCTTCATAATTAGATTGTTGAAGAGGCAGAGAAAAGATATTCACACACTGTGGGGATTGGACACACAACTCTATGATTAAAAGACCTACTGACTGAGTTATCCAACAATTAGTCTTAAATTATCAATTGACTATGTTCTGGCCCCTCAAAATGACTTACTTACCAGCCCCTGCAGTTCTTAGTTGTGTTTTTGAGTGAAATATCTCATTTAATTTGGTACAGAAATGTGTGTTCCCCTCGGGATAAATTGTTTTAAATTTCATTTAGCACCATCATCGGGTCAAAATTGTGTTCAAAACTACACACTACATCTAAGTCAGATGGTCACTGGACTGATTCTGATATATTAACAGAATCCTCTCGTTGTGCAGACCATGGCTTTCCTTTGAAAGAAAATAGCATATTTCTTTTCAATTTGCATTGGTTGCTATTTGTTTTGTGGCAGTGAAACTGAGTTTGGCTTTCACTCATTTCACTGTCATTTATTTAGGAAACAATGATTTTTGAGATACATCGGGACAGAGTAGAAATGGGTGGATACAACTGCCCTGTTGGGTTTTACGCACAGGGCTTCCTTTTATATGTAGACTTGATTCAACAAGGGGATGCTCCCATGTTATTGCCACGGTACTCCTTTACGTTGTAAGGATTATGTTCAGAAATGCTTTAGGAGTGAACATATTGTATTGGGTGTCTGAGCTATTGGAGAAGGCAAATCATAGAAAAGCAAGTGGTTTGGTTGGCTTTAATAGGCAACAATAGTATGCTGGGCAGCAAGCAAGTATGATATATTAAAGTGAGCTTATTGATACCTTCATGTAGATTAAAAACAGAAATAGCTAAATTAGAGATAATGAACATGCAAAACAAAGTGCACTAGAAATAACCATGTTGCACAGCAGCTATTTTTAACTGAAGCACAGCAGATGCAACACTTATTATCCCAAAAAGAGACTTGAGAGTTTGCTTTGACTTGCATAGAATGACTTGTGAAGTAACTTGTACTTTGAGTAGTTATTTGACCAAGTACTTTTACTTGAGTAGGTTTGACATATTACTTTTACTTTTTCAGATTTTCTGTACCTTACTGGTTAGTGAAAACATCCCATCTCTCTCGATTTTGGTGATTTTGTCCCATTTCCATTCTACTCCAGGGCACACAAAGAAATTTAGGAGCACAGTGAAAAAGCTTCCTGTAATACAGAGTTTATTAACAAACCATTTATTACTTACATATTTATTTGGACACACCATGGACCTTAAAATATTTTTTAAGTTTTTTTTTCATTTGACAACAGTGTGTTTTTTTATTTATTTTACCACTTATCAGTCATCACAGTAATAACACACAACACAGAAAACTCTGCTGTGATTGATGCATTACAGCTTGTGGCATGTGGGACTAGTTTTTGAACCAGGGACAGATACTCCACCACTACACTGTCCACAACCTAGAGGAGGAACTAGTGAAAATTTGTATAATATTATAACATTAAATAAAAAGTGTAATGTTACTTTAATAGTATAATGTATACTGAATGTACAGTGCGAGTGAAATGTTCTCACTGGTTGGTGTTTTTTCTTGAAAAATTACTGAAACAATTGATATATAAAACTTTGCTATACAGATTATGTAGGATGTTAAGTAACCTATGAAAGCTGTATTGACATTTCTTAACATGGTTCCTATAATTGCTTTGCTAAAACTCCATGTTATCTGTGCCATGTGACCATTTAAACTCCCCCCTTGGGAATTCATGAGGTTTATCTCATCAACCAATCAGTTCATATTGAATCAGACTTTAGCAGTCTTATTCATTAAGAAATCTATACAAAACATTCCCCAAAAAAGCAGCGCAAAAGCAATTAGCCCCTGTCATTACCAAATGTAAGTGCAATTTGCTTGGTTGAGCTTTAAGACCAATTTATTAAGGCAGCCACCCTCATGCCCTAAAGCACTCCTTGTAATTGGAGCACTCAACATAAACTGCTCCTTCAGAAATAAGCATCTCCAGACTGTCCTCAATATTTTTGTCACTGGCCTTGGTGTTTTGAGCCATCTCCAGAGTTGTAATTGATAATGTTTAAGGACTTTTCTGTGTTTTAGTAGAAGCCATTGAACACGGGGAAGATACATTTAGCTCTAGCATTATAAAACTTTTTCTTGCCTTGGCTTTTTCAATTCATGTCAGTGTATAAAACATTGTGTTGGACCCGAGGAACAATTCACAAAAGTCACAAACAAAGCCCAGCTAGATTCTCCCTCATACATTTCTATTGAAATTGAGAATTCAGGGAAACTTAGAGGAGTAATATCCGTTGATGGCACGAGAGAAAGACAATGAAATGTCATTCGGTATTAATTGTGCATTGGCTTGGCTGCAGTAAACAGAGATGACATTTTGTGATATCTGTGCCTCTCCCACATGCATGATATTGTCCCAATTCCATGCTTTAATGAGGTTTAAAGATCACAACAGAATTACATTACAAAGATTTTTTTCCTCTACTTGCGACTGCTGTCCTAAATCTGTACTCTTTAACATTACATATATAGCTCACAAATGTACTTGTCCTTTTTCTCTCATTTTGATCTTTATCTTGCACTCTGTAAGTGAGGGGACAAAACCATTTTGGACAAATGCAACACATCTTTTAACCACCAGAAACCTGCTTTTAACATACTTTATTAAATGTTACCTCCGGTTGTTTTCTCAAACTCAGGTGTTTTGTACTTTACTGTAAATTCAGGCTGATGTGTGAAACCAGTCAGCCTATTTCATCATGTCAGAAGAGGTCAGACACTCTTAATGCTTCATGTAGTCTCCTTTCCCACTGAGATAACAAATGTTACTTTCTTTAACTGGTTTTTAATTGAGGGTCAACAACAACATCATTACATCCACAGGCGTGTCTAGTCTTAAGGGACTGCTGGTGTTCAGCTACACCACAGACAGATTTCCAAAGAATCTGCACATGCTAATTGCAGTGGGCTGTTTTCTAAGTGTTGGTTTGTTGGTACATCTTCATCGTGGGAGTACACATGGTAACAGAGCAGTGGGAAAAATCAAGATATACAATGTCCCATTGTCTCCCCACACCAATGTTTCTCAATCCTAGTCCATAGAGGGACTCAGCTGGTCACTCATCACTCTGTCTGTTATGAGTTTTGTGAATTAAAGGCCACTGAAGGCTGAATAATGTCATAAAAGTCCACCTTTCATTTTTCAATTAAGATTATTGCTCCCATGAATATCTAAGGTTACAGTGATGCATGTTAACAAGATACAATAATGAATAATTATAAAACATATATACTATATAAACTACTCACAGTATGTAATTGTAATTTTTATTGTATTATTTTAGGATATTAATAAAACAGTATACTGGGGCTGCAAGTAACAAGTATTTTCCTGATTGACTGATTAATGTTTGGTCTCTACAGTAGAGTGTCAAACACAGTCCAAGTTAACATCATCAGATGTGTTGTTTTATGTGACCAACAGTCCAAAACTCAAACATATTCAGATTAAAGTGTTATAAAACAGAGAAAAGCAACATAATCTCATATTGGAGAAGCTGGAACCAAAGAATAATTGGAGTTTTTGCAGATCAGAGGTATCCAGGCTTCTTCTTTTAAACAAGCTCTGTTCACATTCATTGTTTCTGCTCAAAACATATTGTGTGGGTCCTCGAGGTCTGACACAAGTAAATGCATTTCCTCCCTATGAAACCTTTTTGTTGTTGTTCATAATCCTGCCTTGTTTACATCCGCGTTTACAAGCTTGCAGTCATCTTCTCTAGATTTGTCTTGCGCATTGCATTACTGCCATTTGTCGATCGGTAGGATAAAGGAAACAACTGGCAGGAAGGTGTGTGTGAGCATGTGTTTCCTCCATACAACGTACAAAGAAAACGTGGACCCACTCATCAAAACATACCTCCTAATTCTGCCAGTGGTCACAAACTCTACAGGGTCCCTTTAACTTTCTGTTGATCAACTAATCAATTAATGGACTAATCAATATACAGTGTACTGTGCACCACACTGAGCTAAAGTCTCATTGTGTGTTTTGAAGAATCAGGTGCAAACTGGGTAAAAGGTCATATTGTTGACTTTGACATTTTGTCAGGGTCTGAAAAACTTAGACACAACTTTTAAAAGACTGTTATCAACGTGTTTTTGCACTTGTTTGATGACAAATGGCCTTGAGGGAAATTCAAGAAGCAATTTATATTAAAACAAGCTGTAAAGGGCAGATTCTTCCTCAACCTCTGCCCCTGTAGGACCTGATTTAGAAATGCCTCACGATCTCCATTCATAGCTGTCTCCCACTAACTGATTGTGGTCCTTGAATATCTACACTGTAGTTTGAAAATTGCTGGCCCACTCGAGGCTGAGAGTTAGTTTTTTTTTATCACAGTTAACGTCCACTAATGCATTCATACCCACATCCTTGTCCCATTTTTTTAATAGATAATATTCAACAAATTACTTTCATAGATGTGATACTTTGAAAGGCTGACTGTGATTTCACATTAAATCCTTCACTGCTATACTAAGAGAGGAGATATTTATCACAAGTTGATTCTATCGTTTTCTTTTCAGACTGACAATAAATGCAGAATGCCAGCTGCAGTTGCACAACTTTCCAATGGACGAACACTCCTGTCCACTCATCTTCTCCAGCTGTAAGTGCACCTTGTTCAATGTAGTGTTGCTATATAGGACCACTCAATTATTTGCACTTATCACCATATATACTGTGTATATACATATATGTGTGTGTGTGTGTGTGCTATATATGTCAGAGGTCACACACCTCTGGAGCAACTAGGGGTTAAGTGTCTTGCTCAGGGACACGTTGGTGAATGTGTCACAGTGTGGAATTGAACCCGGGTCTCTCACACCAAAGGAATGTGTTTTATCCACTGTACTATCGCCACCCCAAAGTGATCAATACAGTGCTGTGAAAAAGTAAATGCCCCCTTCCTAATTTTAGTTTTCTGCATATTTGTAATACTGAACTGTTTCTGATCATCAAACTATTTTTTGCCCGAGTAAAAACAAGATGCAGTTTTTAAAAGATGATTGCATTTATTAAGGGTAAAAAGCTATCCAAACCTACGTGGCTGAGTGTGAAAAAAGTAATTGCCCTCTAAACCTAATGATAGGCAGCAACAACTGCAATCAAGCTTTGCGATAACTGTCAATGAGTCTTTTCCAGCGCAGTGGAGGAATTTTTGGCCCACTCATCTTTGCAGAATTGTTTTAATTCAGCAACACTGGAGGATGTTCGAGCATGAACAGCCTGTTTAAGGTCTTGCCACAGCATCTCAATCGGATTTAAGTCCGGACTTTGACTAGACCACTCCAGAGCCTTCATTTGGCTATCGCAATATCACTATTCCTGGGAAGGTTCACCACTGTTCTGAGTTTTGTCCATTTGTGGATAGTGGCTCTCACCGTGGTTTGCTGGAGTCCCAAAGCCTTACAAATGGCTTTGTAACCCTTTCCAGACAGATAGATGTCAGTGACTTTGTTTCTCATCTATTCTTGAATTTCTATAGATCGCGAGTGATGTGGTGCTTTTTGAGATCTTTTAGCCTACTTCACTTTGTGAGACAGGTTATATTTAAGTGATTTCTTAATTCAGAGTGTGGCTAGGGAAATTGAACTCAGCTTTCCAAAAAATGTGGTTAATCACAGTTAATTCATGATTTACCAAGGTGTGCAATTACTTTTTTACATAGGACCAGGTAGGTTTGGATAGCTTTTGTCCCTTTAATACACAATCATCTTTTAAGAACTGCATCTTGTATTTACTCGGGTTATGTTTGTCTAATACTGAAAATAGTTCTGAAACATTTCAGTGTGACAAAAATGGAGAAATGTTGGTTCATTTTTGAAGTGGCCACTCATAATATGACTTTAGAAGCAAAAGGTTATAAACACATTGATATATATATATTTTTTTTAATCTGTAAAAGCAGTGGAGGACAAAGATGGCCACTCAAGGACAATTTAAAAACATTCCAGCAGGGAAAAGAAGTGATAAATGTGCTATCCTTTATTTCACACTTGCACTACACAGTATATACTCAAAAGAGTTGTCTCTTGTCCATTTGGTCCATTCTGGTATGCATTTGTTTGCAGCGTGCTAAATATTATTCACTTACTGGTATCATGGATTGGATTACTGAACCTGACCTACAGGTTACAGGCCAGGGGCCCCTGGACCTCTGGATAATGTGACTATTAACATTTCTTGTTGGAAGGTCAAATCACTACAAAGTGATGCAAAACAACCACCTTTCAGTCCGAGGGACTTCCTCTTAAATGTAGACTTCTTTAAAACAGTTCCCCAGTCTACCATTAACTGAACTGCATTTGAGCACGTGCAGTGCACTGAAGTATTAAACTGCATAATCACTAGCAGATTGCCTCCACATTATAAAGAAAAAAAGTATAAGTACATAATACTATAAAATAAGTTTCCTCAAATGTATCGCAAATATTGTATAATATACAGTAATTTTGTCCAAGTAAGTTCAACTAAAGGGCTCTACAGGGTGAGGTTTGCTTATCTACTATACAGAAACTTCACTGTAAAATTAACATTGAGGTGTTTATTCTGTTTGCATGTGACATGTACAGGGTAGTCAGTTGCATAGGTTGTCAGTCTAGCAGGGCATCCAGTAAACCTGATGATGCTCTGAGGAACTGAGCAGTGTGTTGAAAATTAAGCATGTTGTTATGTCCTCTGCTGTGGACCTATAGTGGCCTCACAGAGATCTATTATCAAGATCATAGAGTGATTTAATGTGAGAAGACCTTGCACCTTGTGCAGCCTATTAGAGCTTAAAGCTCACTGCACTGCCATGTCTGTTGAGCCAGTCTGCTGTGACCCATCAAACCCATTTCCTTACCTAAGGAAATCATCAGACATTACACTGGTTTCCATGACGACGTCTCTATTTTCTGATTAAGTTGGATTTTCTTATCTTTAAAGCCATCATGTCTCGGGGGATTAGAATAATCAGCTGAGTACAATGCAAATATGAAGCAGAGTTGAATAGACAGACAAGAGTATAGACTCTGTAGATAACAAGCATACTACATGTGGTAAAGTTTGCCAGCTTGCTGAGATAGAAACAATATGTACAGTCTTAAATAATGACCTGGGGAAAATGAATGCATGTTTATGTTTTTATCAACTCTGTTTTCTGTTTTCAAGATTGCTCATTTAGAGAAATTTCCTCAAAGAATAAAGCTGCAACAATTCATCAAATCGCTCTGTGTAATGGAAATAGGGTTGTTTTAGCATCTTTAAGCACGTTGTTTTGGTTTTACTGTTTCACTCTCACTGCTCTTAATAACCTTGTTTCCAGCCACAACAGGCAGCTGTTTTTAGCAAAATGCTCCGGTCAACAGACTGTATGTTACTTGTCCAGCACCGCAGAGAGACATAGCAGAAGCTAGCTGGTGAGCTAAGTAAAGCAAGTAGCAACTTAAGAGCCAGAGTTTTTTCGTTCAGGAAATGGCGGAGACTCAAAACAGACCTAAAAGCAGAATGATGAATTTACGTTCTCGGGTAGTCAGAAAGACAAATTCAAATAGTTGCTAACACTGCACTGTGTCTGGACAGTGTAAATAGGCAGTTGTTTGCTTACAAATTCAACATAACAAATGTATAAGTTGTCTCTGCGCTAAAAGTTGCAAAAAGATAAAGCAATTAATATAGGTTTACAGTAGTTGTTTAGACTTTTAAGGACTTTGCTTAAGGTCAAGTTGTACCCAGTTGAAAGGTGCGATCCTTTTGAACATATTTTTGGCCCATCATTTTCACAAACACTGCTTTGCAGCAGCTGTGATTTGGTGAGGTCTCTGCATTAATGAACAGAAATATATATCTGGACACAGATCTTCATTACATTACAATTTTTGAGTGTAATTCTCAGTAACATAAGGCTCCTGACATGTTTTGGGATGATCTCACCTTGTAATTTACAGGTTATTACTGAGTGCTGTCCAATCTCCTCCAGTTGAAAATTAAATAGTTTTATTGTATGATCATGATAATCCTTTTTTTTTATCAGATTTAATAATAATAATTTTTAGATCAAATGACCTCTAATGGGTTGTTAAATCTACAACAATGCTCATATTTTATAAGCTCTTAATACGTTTTTATCTAAAATCTCTGTTATAAAGTAATCAGTAACTATTGCCATCAGATAAATGCAATAAAAAGTGTCTTTAAATGGAATTACTCAGGTAAAGTAGAAGTATCTCAGATTTGTACAGTAAATGTAAATGTACTTAGTTACATTCCGCCGCTGCTAACAGTAATCCACAGCTGAATGGAGTACAGTCAGGCATGTGCTTTTATGTTCTGTACATAAAAGCACTTAAAATAATAAAAATAATTTCCTACTGTAATTCACAGATACAGTAGATGCATTTCAATAGGAATTGATTAAATCCTTGCATGTATATGCATTTTTATACTGTAAAATAGGACATTACTTCTTTTTTTTTCAAAATTCTATGAAAACCCATTCATAGGTAAAGTAATCATATGGCAATTTCTGTCTTATCCAATCAGTTAAATACCTGGTAAATCAAATAACTTTGCTCTAAAATCATGTATGGGATAACCACTTACCTACTTTTATTTTGAAAGGAACCAAGTCTTCCTGTTAGGCTAATGTGTATTAAGTCTTTCGAATATTGTTAATTCATAAATGCGTCACAAATTGTGCTTTGAGACTATTACTAATGTTTTATGCAAATGTATAGAATATTGCTAATCCAGTGTTGCCATTCATAAACGTTTTCTTGGTTGAAGAGCTATTGTCAACAGCAAACTGTATTCTGAACATTTTGTGTAGTGATTGTTGAATCTTTAATGGCATCATTAATAGCAAATGAGAGAAAACTGTGGAAAATGTTAATGGAATTCATTCATCAAGCATGTTTGAAAACAATTAGTAGTTTGGGAAACATCTTCCCTCACAGTTAATGTTTTTGTTAATTGAAAGCCTATTACATCAAATTGCTATCAGGCAAGATCATAATTTTGTTAGCTTTCCTACTTAAAATGATTATGTGTCTGTTTAAGACAAGAAAGATCCAGGCTAGTGCAACACCAAAGCAGAAATGCAATCATTAACCCATCATTAACCTCACATGATCGATTTGTAAAAGCACTCCCAGGCTCCGCGCACATCATATGAAGGTCAGGCCCAACATCAAGATGGATTCAGTACATTATTGAACCAAAGCTTTCATTTAATCTACTTTCCTTCTGCCTCTGTCTTCATTCTAGACTGTCTTTTCATTAGCCAGCCTCCAGCACAAGACAAATGTTGCTCTGGGTGGCCCTAGGTCTGTCTGCACAGGAAATCCATCATTAGGATGTGCCATGTAGCGCCAAGGGTCACACACACATGCTCTGTGTAATTGCAGATGGATACCCACGAGATGAGATGATTTACAAGTGGAGGAAGAACTCAGTGGAGGCGGCTGACCAAAAGTCCTGGCGTCTCTACCAGTTTGATTTTATGGGCCTGAGAAACACTACAGACATAATAAAGACTACAGCAGGTAGGATCCGTCTGTTGGACTGTTTCTTCCTCAAGCTGAACATTTTGAAACGTGTTGCCGGCACTCTCATTGGACAGGTGTTGATATTTAGTGTCCGTAGACAGATAGACACTCACTTTGTAGAAGTAGTGGCAGAAATCAATGGGGTTGTCACATCAACTGTACATTGTTGTTAGTTTTCTAAATTTTGAAATTAAAGTCCAGCCAAACTGGTTTGAGGAAGAAGAAACTTAAGATTGCTCGATGAATATCACACAATCTGAAACAAGAAATATGGCATGAAATAAGCCAGTGTCCATGGTGTTCCCTGCCTAAGCACTGGTAGCAGAATTTTATTTGTAAATGAAAAAAGAAACCTCTGCCTTTCTGTCAAGCCCCTGTTGAGACCACCAAGTCAGTTCCATTAGTCAGACCACTTGCTGTCCTATTATGGCTTAGGTGTAACGTCACCTCCTTGTTTACACTGAGCTTGCAAAAAATAGAAAGTGCAAGTCACAAAAACACTCATCTATCTCTCCCCTTCTCCATCTGCCGGTGCCATCCACTGCAAGGAGTCTTTTATTTTTAAAACCACTTGAATTTGAGTTTTGCAGGCGCCACACTGAGCAAGATGCCTTATTATTTACTGCATCATCATGCTCCGTTTCAGAGAGTTGCTAATCCTCTTCCACACGAATAAAACATTAGATCTGTGTTCTGTGACATAACCCTTAAGATTTCAGTCCTGGTTGATATTGGTGACACCGGTGCTTACTGTGTAAAATATCAAATTTCCATCTCATGTGGGTGAGAGCAGGTTCACTTTAGTACTATAGTAAACTCTCCTTGAGCAGTCAGAACTCACGACAGAAAATCAACCAATTACATTTTGTTTTTAATTTTAAAAAAGCCAGTCAATAATAATTGCAATCACGATTTGATTTCCTGCTGTGCACGGTGCAAGTCGTTTTCCACACAACAGCAAGACACAGTTAAGTTGGTTACCTTGCTGAGGACTTGGAGGTGTGCAGCCTGTCTCCTGCAGCTCTTCATTTAACAGCTCACTGTGGCTGCTTCTGACTGTTCATTAACATTTAAAACTCTTCCACTGTCAAAACATGCAGGAAAATGACCGTCATTGTGCTTTGTAGATGAATTTTTGATTAACGGTTAAGGTCAACAGCGCTAACTTTGGTGGTACATTGCATTTCCTGTGACTGCTATTATAAATAATAAAATCCACGTAAACATAACTGTCAGTGTGTAAGAAGACTTCTCTGCAGACTGATGCATTTCACTGGCTACCACAGTTTATGTCATACAGGTTTGTAACGCAGTTCAAGTTTACTACCTGTAAACAAAACTGATATCAGCTGAGTAGAGAAATCAGTTATAAGACACTAACTTAAGTGGAAGCTGTACGTGATCTGCATAGAGCTCACTCTGCTCTTATAATTTTAGAAATTTTATACATCATTTGCATATATTATTCCTCATGAATCTTAACCTTTAGAGCAAGCCACTAAGTTCCACAGTTAACAATATGCAGTAATGTACTTTAACCCCATCAGCTCCATTCAGATTCCAAGTGTTATTTTACACATAGATCTCTGCACTTGTATTCTCATAACATACAGGACCTCCAAAGATCTCATTTGGCTCTGTAAAGTTTCCCATCGTGTCATGTTGTTTTCATACACAGGTGACTATGTGGTGATGACGGTGTACTTTGACCTCAGTAGAAGAATGGGCTACTTCACCATCCAGACTTATATTCCCTGCATCCTCACCGTGGTCCTCTCGTGGGTGTCCTTCTGGATCAAAAAAGATGCCACGCCAGCCAGAACGGCTTTAGGTACTGTTGTCTTACAGCATTTCAACAGGTCTGTCCATACCACGACACTGAAATGCTTTAAAGGGTAACTTCAGTATTTTTCAACTTGAACTTGCTTTATTGTCCCATGTTTCTGTGTCTTTTTGACTAATTGGGACAACATTTTTTTGAAATTGGTTTAGGATTGAGCGGGTGCGCTGCAGTTAGCAGCAGCAGGGCAGTACTACAACATAATCCTTGTGGGCAATTGCATTGTACGTCCGCTACAGAGCTTGTTTTCGCCACTGACAGGCTCACATTTTGTCAAGGGAGTCTGGCGGCTTTGATGAAAGAAATATTGGTGATTAAACAAAAAGGATCTTACTCTTTAAAAAAAGATCTGTCTCTGTAGGGATCTTTTCCATAATGTTATCAGACACTTATTAATAACAATCTGAAACAGTCAGTGGCAAAAACAAGCACTTTAGTGGATGTACTTTGGATTACGTTGCAGCCCTGTCTTGCTGCTGTCGACTGCAGAGCTTTCACTCAATACTGGACCAATTTAAAACATTTTTGTCCCAATTAATCACAAAAATATGCGAACATAGGGTCCAGGTTGAAAAATACCCTTTAAGCTACAGCTGTAGAGATAATTGGAAAGACTGATGCAGACATTATCTCAAGGTCCAACTTTCAAGGTTTCCGTTTGCACATTTTAATCATGTTTTGCTTTGAATAGGCTCTGTCTTTATGTGCTGTTAGTTATTAGGGTTGGCAACCGAAATCCTGTTCCAATTAAGAACTGAATCCAAAATTCCAAGAACGGCGTACTAGTTAAAAATATTCGGTTCCTACACGTGATAACTCATTACTGTTGCAAAAAAAGGCTAAGTATATGCAAGGACGTGGCTGTCTGCCAGGAACTGTCTACGTCATGCTGTAAATGGTGCATGAGTCTGTGGGGGCTCTCTCTAAAGGGCCCCCTTTCATTTCTGGCACTTGAAGCCAAAAAAGTTTCTCTTCTGATCATAAAATTACCCAGATCTTCCTCATATTGGTGAGACCCATAGAGCAAGTTTCCTTTAACCCCACCTTGACTACAGTTAATGCTAAAATATGTGGCTTCACTTTATTAAAGAAAATGACATAGCAAAGTGCAATGCATGTGGAATGTGGATTAATTAGCTGTATGTTGCACATCATTTGACCAAACATGTAAGGCAGCACAGCGTCGATCTGAAAGAATGTTCAGTGTTTATTCAGTGTTTTTATGTTGTGCGATGTCTTGCGGTCTCCTAGCCCGTGTGTGTCATCAGCCACCTCTAGCACCTCCAGTAGAGCCAGGGATGCCAAGCCACGGCACACCTTTATCTTTGGCAATAAAGGGAAAGATGACCAAAGAGAAAACTGAGGAGCGTTAAATGCCACAGCATCCACCAGAAAATGCGTGTTACATACGTTATTGTATAAATCTATGGAATGTTCTGTTAAAAAGACTTTGAATTCACTTATTTTAATGAAACAATAAAAGTAAATGCTTGAAAGAATAAAGATATTTTTGTTTTCTAAATGTGAACTCGTTTTTTTATTGTCTTATTGGAATTGAAACTGTTAATCAATAAGAAGCGGAATGATTAAGCAGAATCGAAATCGATTAAATTCAAACACCCAACCCTGTTAGCTACACTGCATGGATATGTGTTTGTCGCTTAACTTGAGTCACTCCATCTGCTTTTTCTGTTTTGTTATGCTTTTTCCCTCTTTTGTACATGCTCTCTATTTGTTGTTGTGCAGTCCTGTGGAACATATGGGAGGTAATTGATTTCATCCTTTTTCTTTTTCTTTGTTTACATTTGATCCATTGTTCACATGTGTGAGTGAGTGAGGTTAAGAAATTGATAAAATGTTTTCAGAACTTTCAGACTGACATTACATAAATATAAGGCAGTAACTTTAAGTCCAATCCAGCTCTTAATGCAAACATCTAATGTCTCAGGGTCAGTGTCTCACACTGCCCTGCAGATGTATCATCTGTACACTGTACATACCCAACTGATGAAAGGTACAAAGGTGGAAAATAAATAATGAGTGCTATGAATCAGTCATTTATGCTGTGAAGCAACCAGACCAATTACATGCATGTCCGGAGAAAGAATGGAGATGATGAATGGATCTTCAATGTAGGCTGATTGTAGAAGTACAGGGGCAAGCCAAGCCAGTGTTGGAGTAAAGAGGATTGGGATGAGTCAGCCTAGGGCAGCAAATCTTTCAGCTCAGGTTTAAGCCTTAATAACACATAGGACTAACTTAGTTCAGTAGCAAGTTATCACACACTTTATGCACCTAATTTCTTAGGAAAGCTGTCACATACACTGCATCCTTGATACATTCTTGTGTTTGACACATTATCAACAGAGCCTCACAAGTTCCTCCACATTAAGCTGTCAGCGAAGATAAATGCTTTTGAGAGTTTTCCTCTCTCCAAACCTGCACTTGATTCTATTGTTTAGAGCAAAAACACTCTTGAATCTGTGCCACAGCATCAGCAGAAGGCAGGTAAGTGTAATCACTGTGGCAAACAGAGGCTAACAGAAAAGTGCGAGATGTCCGTCTGAAATAGATGGGGCCAGCTTGTTACCATGGGAACCCCAGTGAAATCGTCACAGAAGGTTTTTTTTTCTTATAGGCATCTATATAATGCCCATGGATGAGGAGATGGGAAAGAGGAAAGAATGAAATCATACAGGAATGCTTAAGTAAAAGAGTTTTTTTTTTCATGTCTATCAATCTGACATAAACATCTGCTGTTAGTCAAGATGAAAATGTTAGCCTCTGACATAGCAGCTAAGTGACACTGTTAAAAGATAGAAAATTACTAAAAGACAGATTCTACGAGATCGTACATGCAGTGAATCTATGACATCTTAAAGCTGCACTAATCAATATTCTTATAGTAACAATGGATCAAATGACTGTGTGTAATGTGAAAGAAGTTGCCTGTAGTGATAAACCTGTAGGTTTTTTGGCTGCAGCTTTACTGTCTCGATTCAGTCTCACTGCTTTCATCGGTGTCTCAGATGCAGCAGAAGACTGTTTTCTACGATAAAGCTCTTAAAAAGCCACTGTATGCGACGTGCTCTGCCCCAAACAAGAGACAAACAATGTTAGCAACCAGCTGGTAAACACAGTGGAGCTAAAGAGCCAGACATTTCCCTCTGGACTTTGTGGAGACCAAAATCAGAGCTAAAAAGAAAACGAATACATTTGTCAGGGGGCTAGAGAAGCATCTTCAAATGAATGACAGTGTTGCCCCATGTATCAACAGATGTTGATAATATGTCAGTGTTATGTTGACAGCTTTTTTGCACTGCCCTCAATTGTCCAACACTGGGCTAAGGTGTTCTTGCAGATGAAAACTTTTTCCATGTAAAGGCTCTTCAAGTACTCTTGGGCAGAGCATGGAGAAAATGTATATTAATTGTTAATATAATACTCACATGCCCAGATTGATTAAGATATTGATTACTGTGATCAATCTTCCTGTTCATACTGGCCACAAAGTGATCCCTTTCCAGTCTGACTCCAATGAAAAAGGTATAGACAAGCACAATGCAAAAATCCATCCATTTCAAGCTAACATGAGGCTTCAGCAGTCAGCCACATCAAGTTGGTAAACTCCAGAAACTGTGAAATGTGTCCCTATTGTTATGAATAGGCAGATTTTAAACTGTATGTCCAATAAGATGTGATGGTTAGGTAGTTTTTTGTCAGCTTGAGCGGCAAGGGAGCACAGCTCATATTTGTGTACCTGACCCATCAATTTCATCTCATGTAGTATGTGTCAAGTCAAAGTGTCTCTCTCTGTGGATTTTCATTGATTATTCTGTTAAACATTTGACACAATTCCCGTTCGAAGAGCACAGTGAGGTCGGATTCTTTACATTCTGTACTGGCCACATTTGAAGAGCTTTACAAATGAGGAAAATGACAAAACTTTGTGTGCACAAAGGTGTTCTGCAAAAAAACTTCACCAACATAAAACCTTAGAGGAACAGTACAGTATAATTGGTTTCTGCTCCTGAGCTTCAAATTCACTATAGTGAACAGTGTTTTCATGTAGTGTGATTTCTTTTCTCGGAAACCAGTCCAAGGCTAAGGCTAAGTGATCATGAAGGATCTTGAGGCAAACACTGCAAGGATCTGTCAAAGTTTCGACTCAGTCAATTTAGATTTTGCACTCAGACAAAGACGGAATTTGATGTTCTTTGTCCACAGTTTTTGTTTTTGTCATGATCCTGCATTAGCTCGTACTTCAGTAAAATGAACCTCAGGCAGAGGCAAGAGTGCAAATATAACCTTAATTACATTTCAATGTCATAATCAAACTGAAAGTAGATCCAGCACAAACCATGGTGATTTCCATTATTACCTGTTAGCAGTGCCAGAGATGAGTTTGTCCTTTTTTGTGTCCTTCAGGTATAACCACAGTGCTGACTATGACTACTCTCAGTAGTGTCGCCAGGACGTCACTACCCAGAGTGTCTTATGTCACTGCCATGGACCTTTTCGTCACGGTCTGCTTCCTGTTTGTCTTTGCTGCTCTGATGGAGTATGCAACGTTAAATTACTATTCGTACAGCGCTCGAAGACCCAGCTGCACGGAACCTAAAAGATTGGTAAGTTGGTCAGTTTTATTCATATAAAGATATATTAAAATATTCTACCAGCAGAATTCCTTCAATTCTCCTACAAGTGAACTTTTGAGTGAAATAAGTGATAGAAATGTAGATTGAGATGTAGGGTTAGGGTTAGGGCTGTATGTACAGGAGTACTGTCATTTGTTACAAAAGTATCTTTTCTCTCAAGTGCTTTGGTTTTGTTATCACAACATGTTGAGAAAACCTTTCAGGGTTGTGATGATGTGATGCTGCCCTTTATAAGCTCTTCTGATAAGACTGTTACTATTTTAAGGGACACTGCATCAGTGTGAACAAGCTTCCAAGACAGACAGGCCTTTTCTTTGTCAACCACTGAAGGAAGGGAATGCAGACTGTCACCTTATGTTCTCTGAAGGAAACCAATGGTCTTATCTGTAACTTTAGACAGACAAAATGTATAACTGCCCCAGTATTAATGCACTGGAGATGAAAGTTTGCATCTGTGGGTGTTAATGTGAGCTTTTTCCTCCAAATGAGCTTACTCTTATTGTTTTAAAATTGAAAGTATCTCTCTGTCAAACTACACCATATATGATTGCAAACGTTTCAGAGTTGGTGGGCCATTTGCATTAAGCTGAATAAACACCAAGTATCTAAAAATGTTATTTTTGAATAAATTTTGTTTCCCCAACTGCTTGGTGAAGCTTTAGAGAATTCTGAATATGTTCTACTAATGTAAATCTAGGAAGGTCCATCCAAGTGATTATTCAACCACTTTAAAATGCAGTTAAAAATTAAACAAATCAGTTTAAAACAAATAATACTCACCACTACCATTTAGATTTTGTAGCATCACTCAAAGCAAAGTAGAAGTCAATCAGCGCCCTTAGCTGGAGGAACAGCAGATATCTTTATTTTAAATTAAATGTTAATAAAGGTTGTATAATAATAAGTGCTGCCCTCCTCTGCTCTGTCACCTGATATAAAACACAAGTTTTTTCCTCACACATTGACTGTGACTAACTAAGCTGCTTGCCTCTCTCTGCCTGTCCTAACTTGTAAAAACATTAACGTCATCAACTAGCTGAAATTGCGTACTGGCAGATAAACAGGAAAACTTTAGTAAAAAGAATGCATCTTAAAAGACTATCTTTCACTTTGGCTGGTTTGAATTACATTTATATATAAGTTCTGGCAGTCCACGACAAATCTTCCTACATGAGACAGAAAATTGCGAACCATCCTCAACTGTTGTTGAGCCTGTTCCTGGGTGGCGGGGCTTTCTGTTTTGAACAAAACTTCTTTCATTCATCTCAACATGATTGAGACTAGTAGGCCTTACATCCGTTAAGATTAAAAGACTACCCGCCCAACCAGTTTCAGCCTCAGGTGCTCCAGCAGCCTGGCTACCCGCCCAAGCAGCCTCAGGTGCCCCAGCAGCCTAGCTACCCGCCCAAACAGCCTCAGGTGCCGCAGCAGCCTAGCTACCCACCCAAGCAGCCTCAGGTGCCCCAGCAGCCTAGCTACCCGCCCAAGCAGCCTCAGGTGCCCCAGCAGCCTAGCTACCCGCCCAAGCAGCCTCAGGTGCCCCAGCAGCCTAGCTACCCGCCCAAGCAGCCTCAGGTGCCCCAGCAGCCTAGCTACCCGCCCAAGCAGCCTCAGGTGCCCCAGCAGCCTGGCTACCTGCCCAAGCAGCCTCAGGTGCCCCAGCTGCCTAGCTACCCGCCCAAGCAGCCTCAGGTGCCCCAGCTGCCTAGCTACCCGCCCAACCGGCCCCAGTTTCCCCAGCAGTCTGGATACCCGCCCAAGCAGCCTGAGCCGCAGGTGCCCCAGCAGCCTGGCTACCCGCCCAAGCAGCCTCAGGTGCCCCAGCAGCCTAGCTACCCGCCCAACCAGCCTCAGGTGCCCCAGCAGCCTGGCTACTCCGCCCAAGCAGCCTCAGGTGCCCCAGCAGCCTAGCTACCCGCCCAAGCAGCCTCAGGTGCCCCAGCAGCCTAGCTACCCGCCCAAGCAGCCTCAGGTGCCCCAGCTGCCTAGCTACCCGCCCAACCAGTTTCAGCCTCAGGTGCTCCAGCAGCCTAGCTACCCGCCCAAGCAGCCTCAGGTTCCCAGCAGCCTGGCTACCCGCCCAAGCAGCCTCAGGTGCCCCAGCAGCCTAGCTACCCGCTCAAGCAGCCTCAGGTGCCCCAGCTGCCTAGCTACCCGCCCAACCAGTTTCAGCCTCAGGTGCTCCAGCAGCCTAGCTACCCACCCAAGCAGCCTCAGGTGCCCCAGCAGCCTAGCTACCCGCCCAAGCAGCCTCAGGTGCCCCAGCAGCCTAGCTACCCGCCCAAGCAGCCTCAGGTGCCCCAGCAGCCTAGCTACCCGCCCAAGCAGCCTCAGGTGCCCCAGCAGCCTGGCTACCTGCCCAAGCAGCCTCAGGTGCCCCAGCTGCCTAGCTACCCGCCCAAGCAGCCTCAGGTGCCCCAGCTGCCTAGCTACCCGCCCAACCGGCCCCAGTTTCCCCAGCAGTCTGGATACCCGCCCAAGCAGCCTGAGCCGCAGGTGCCCCAGCAGCCTGGCTACCCGCCCAAGCAGCCTCAGGTGCCCCAGCAGCCTAGCTACCCGCCCAACCAGCCTCAGGTGCCCCAGCAGCCTGGCTACTCCGCCCAAGCAGCCTCAGGTGCCCCAGCAGCCTAGCTACCCGCCCAAGCAGCCTCAGGTGCCCCAGCAGCCTAGCTACCCGCCCAAGCAGCCTCAGGTGCCCCAGCTGCCTAGCTACCCGCCCAACCAGTTTCAGCCTCAGGTGCTCCAGCAGCCTAGCTACCCGCCCAAGCAGCCTCAGGTTCCCAGCAGCCTGGCTACCCGCCCAAGCAGCCTCAGGTGCCCCAGCAGCCTAGCTACCCGCTCAAGCAGCCTCAGGTGCCCCAGCTGCCTAGCTACCCGCCCAACCAGTTTCAGCCTCAGGTGCTCCAGCTGCCTAGCTACCCGCCCAACCGGCCCCAGTTTCCCCAGCAGTCTGGATACCCGCCCAAGCAGCCTGAGCCCCAGTTTCCCCAGCAGCCTAGCTTCCCGCCCAAGCAGCCTCAGGTGCCCCAGCAGCCTAGCAACGTGCCTCAGTTATGTGGCTAGGTTAAATAAAACACTTGAACACACTTGCTTTAACAGGTATATGGGGAAACATATCCAAGCTCCCCTAAAAAACCCTGTAAAACAACCAGTTTGTACCAGGTAAAAAAAAGCAGGACTTAAAACCCAAAAATTAGTTTTGCTTCCCTTGTGTGACTGTCTCTTCTTCTTCTTCTTCTCAGAACTACTCCGTCCTGGATGTGAGACCTCCACACACTGTCATCACTTTAAACAACTCCATGTACTGGCAGGACTTTGAGGACGCTTGTGTCTACGAGTGCCTGGACGGAAAAGACTGCCAGAGCTTCTTCTGCTGCTTTGAGGAGTGCAAAGGCGGTGCATGGAGAAAAGGACGTCTCCACATAGATTTACTTGAACTGGACGCATACTCCCGCGTCTTTTTTCCCACCTCCTTCTTGCTGTTCAACATCGTCTACTGGGTAGGCTATCTCTATCTTTAGCACACTGCAGGAGCCTACTTGGTCCCAAAAGAAGAACAGCACAGTTTTACAGAAGAAATTCAAGCTTAATAAAAAGGTAACACCAAATAAACACTTTCCTGTGGTACCTGAAGCAGTTACCTGGAGATAAAAAAGAGAGGACAGTGTGTATCTGCAGGCCTGTGCTGAGCAGAGATTTCTGCCTCTGTGACTTCAGGTGTGAGAATACAACACAATACTGATTCCCTTCATATGCTGTACACAGAGGGTGGAAAGGGTGGACTGTGTGCTGATGCCGATATGAAGACAAAGAAGGAAATGTGCTTTGCACTGCTACCCCAAACTTCACAATCAGGAGGATGACTTGTGTTGTAGGGAATGTTATTATTCAGCCATCAGTCAAATCCAGTTGATGAAAATCCAAGGACATTCAAACCATTAATAGTGCCTTCCTCTGGAGGGGTAGATACTATCTGCTACAATAATCAGGGAATAATTATTTATAAAAAATAAAAAAAATAGAAGAGCCTGGCTTTGACTGATTGTGGCTGTTCTCATTCAGAGCTTTGAGTTACATTTATAAAACAGCCATTTGTTGTAACAACCACATGAAAAATCATTAAGTTTTTATAGCTTCATTCTGACTTTCAGCCATTAGGCATGACTCATTCCTCCTGCTTGCAACACAAGTAGCACCCCTATATGGTGTAATAAATAACTTGGTTCCCAGGGAAGAGAACGATTTGAAAGAAATCTTATAGTAGGAAGAACAATATGTGCTTTATTGACATCACTTCCTATATTAGAGGCTGTGACGCCAATTATTTGAAGTGATCTTTTTTTTATTTTCTGTTTGTGTTCACAGCAGGCATCGGAAATTCCCAGATGTACACCCAGAAGCAGGTATTGTGGTCTTTGCTAACTGCTGTAGGTACAAAAAGCAATACAGCATAGGACACCAACCGTGACATATTTTAAAGAATACCTTTCCTTAAAGGGAATAGTTTTGGGAATTACATTTTTTTGCTTTCTTGCCTAGATAGTTAGATTAGAAGATTGATACCACTCTCACTTCTGTACGCTGAATATGTAGCCACAGTTAGCAGCTGGTTAGCTCAGCTTTGCATACACACCATAAACTGTAAAGATGGATGTCACGATAATTTTCTCTAGTGGCCACCAGTGGTATTGCAGTGAAAAATTCTCCTGTAGCCCTAAATGCTTTTTTCAAATAGACCAACATTAAAACATTTGTAAAACTGTTGGCAGGAAACCTCAAACTGAAAACAAGATCAATTATGACTCTTTCCAGAGGTGGAACCAAGTCATTGTTTTACAAGTCCGAGTCAAGTCTCAAATCTTAGCACTCAAGTCCCAAATAGAGTCCCAAGTCCAGACCGATCATGAGTGGCAAGTCCGAGTCAAGTCTCAAGTCAAGGAGCAAGTCCAAGAGTTTCGAGTCCTAAACAAGTCATAATGCACTCTTCACCAAATTTAAAAGCTTTAAAGTTAAAGTTAAAAATAAAAAAATGTATTGAATGAAGCATTCGCCTGCACAGAAAGAAGGCAGAGGCGCAGTTTCACACAACAAATTTCATGAATTAAATTAAATGTTCATATAGGGCTGTAGGTCAATATTGAGATTGCAATTATTTAACAGGATTACTCATTGCCTTTGGAAACATTAACTATTGAAATGTAATACTTTCTTTTTAAAAACTAGGCTACTATATATGCATTACTCAAAAATCCCAAATCCCCAAAACACAGAGGGGAGCAGAGCAGGTGACAGGTGAACTATTTGAGTTGACGAAGTTACGTTACAGAACGCTGAAATAAAACCGTGGTGTTTTTTCGGGAGATGCAGTGACAGAAACCAGCGGTGAGAAAACTATAAATCGCTATGACGTTAGAAGACGCAGACACAGTGGATATTTTACAAGAACCGATCAGGTAAAGCAACACTGAACACACCTCTTAGGGAGGGACGAGAGCCACAGCTGTAAAGGAAAGGGGTGCGCTGGATTTATAAAACAAAAAGAGTGTGCTATTATCGTTGTGCTATTATCGTTTTATCTTAATTAACTTGTTTTATAATTGGTGGAAGCAGCTTCACGCAACAGCTGCAGCAGTCTCTCTACACTGTTTTCGACCTGTCCTTTCTTTTCCCTGTGAGGTTGAGGAATTTAGAAAATTGCGTGGTGCTGCGTCACGCCTGTGCGTAAAATTCCTCCAGCCAGAGGGACCAATCACAAACCGTTCACAGCGCGCTGGTAGTAGGCCTACTACACAACCCATTGTAGGTCCCCGGAGAGGGAGTGGGTCGCTGGGGCGTACAGGGCCAGGAACAGGAGATCGCGGAGCGGCCGGCCGCGCTTCGGACGGTCGGTGATTGTTCCCTCTTGCTGGAGGAAGCCACACGATCGAGTCTAATTGAGCACTGCGCAGTTTTTTTATATCATAATTCATAGTTGGGCATGGGGAGTGTCAAGTCAGCTCCAGTCAAAAGGCTCAAGTCCAAGTGAAGTCACGAGTCATTGCTGTTCAAGTCAAAGTCAAGTCGCAAGTCTTTTTTGATTTTGTCAAGTCGAGTCTAAAGTCATCATTTTTGTGACTCGAGTCTGACTCGAGTCCAAGTCATGTGACTCGAGTCCACACCTCTGACTCTTTCTATTATGAATTTTTGATCCATGGGGGTTTTATATTTGTAAAACTTTCCTTGAGCTGAGAAAAGCTACTTAAAAATCTGTGACTTCATCACAATGTAAATTCTTTGGGCCGAGCTTCAAAGTACATGGCACACTGACTGGGGGCTTGCATATGCACCAGGTGAGCCATTCTCATTGCATTGAATAGGTGAATTGGATCTGGTATCTTTCAGGTTAGCTGTTCTATTAATATAAGCTAACTGGCTGATGGCTTTAGCTTTAGCTTCAGTGTACAGACATGAGAGTGGTATCTAACAGCAGCAAAAAAGCCAATAAGTATATTTCTTCTCCTTTAAAAGAAATGGGAGTAATGAGTGGTTTATTGATTGATATGAGCTGAATATGGTCCTGTATTTTTCTTTGAACATCAGCATCATGCTGTGGAGGTTTTAGGAGTTGTAAAAATAACTCATGGGTTAAATATATTTATAGATAGCAGATATAACAAAGCAGTTTGTTATGTTTACCAGCTGCATTGTCACAGATTGGGGTCCTCTGAGAAATACACAGACAACATACACACACAAAGGCAGCCATGCGTATAATTCAAGTGTTATTTTTCTAGATGTTACACATATTCACACTATGTATTGGTGATGCACAGCAGCCGCCTCTTGCCATAGCTCTTAACACACACTAGATGAGGCGGAGAGGCAAAAAGTTGTGTTTCTGCTTTTGTTAAACTAACAGCGACCCTTCAGTTTGTTTCTTAACACAGTTGGTGGGTGGGATGCCCAAATAAAAAATAATGGGTGTCATTTGTACATTACTGTAGGCACAAATATGAACATCCCACTCATTAGGATCACTCATCTCTGTTTGGCCATTCACTCTTGTTTGCATGCAATAGACAATTAAACATTACGCTGAAGAAGTTGTAATACGTTCGGAGTTTTAATATGGACTGTTTGTATCATAATTAGATTTCCCTGTGTTTAGATTTGGCATTAGCAACCGCTGAATTGCCTTAGTGTAGCCCGCTGAGAGCTGAGATGAACACCAGAAATACATATTTACCTAATAACCTCAGCATGGTGAAGACCTCACACACTAGCAAAGGCTACTTCTTTGCCTTGGGCAGTATACTTTTTATATCCCTTTTTTAAGCTTTTTCTTTTTATTATAGTTGCTTTGTATGTGCCAAATATTTCACACATGTGCCCAGTCATTTATGTTTTCAGGCAAGTTTGAATAACCCTAAAATGATATGATGGTGTTATTGGAGCACCAACAACTGAACACCTGATTCTGTAGTAAAATGGTCACAGGTATGTATCAGTAAATTTGAAGTCAAAGAGAAAATGCTTTATACTCATTTGAATATGGTCCAAAACCATAGACTGTATAAAAGAAGTGGATGTAGTAACCCATTGGTTTGTGGACTGCCGTTTTTAAAGCCTCAAGTTTGGCATCTTGATTTTTTTGCAACTTGGAACCAGAACCATGATATTTGGACGTGTCGATGAAGCTAGCTAGTTTGGTTAGCTTGGTGCATCTGTAATTCATTTTAACTGTGATTTTAACCAGGATGCTAATTTAATAAAAACGAAAACCTACTTAATTAACAGCTGACTCCTTATAAATCATAAATCACAAATAAATAATAAATCAGGTGAGAAGTAAGGTCATTTTACTATTATTTCTAATGGAACTGGACATCTTTTTGCTACCAGAGGAGTCGCCCCCTGATTTCGATAGAATGTAGGTTTAAGTTACTTCCGAGTGGCATCACTTTTCAGACAAGGAGGCTCCCGCTTGTGCAAAACACATTCACACTCCCGTATAAATAAATGTTAAGTCATGGACAAAATTTACACATCCTCAAATAAGCACATGAATTCGTGCAATGAGAGTTGTATTTTTACATTTTCTCACATACCTTTTTTTTCTTTGGACTTTTTTAACTATAGCTGCTTGAATCAGTCGCTCAGATTGACGATGACAAGTTCTGCATTCTCATGCTCTCACTTTTGCACCACATTTTTCAGTAAAATTTTGGCCAATCAAAGGACTTTGTTTGCGCACCTGTCCGCGTCTATTGTTTTCCCAACCCAGTTGAGATGAAACCTCGCCCCCATCCCTATGACTGTGAAAGCCTTGGTGGTATATGACATCTACACAAGCTTGAAAATCGACATAGGGGCACTGTATTTAACTGAGTGTTTATCAACTGTTTTGAATAATGGGTTGAAAGTCAAGCATGGAGGCTGTATCATGTGTAGCTCTGGTTGTGTCTGTTTTTCTTAAGGTTGGTTAAACAAACAGTAAAACAAACAGTCAGCCATGCTGATTGAGCGGGTAGTGAGCTGTAGTTCCCCGATAAATACACTCCTGCTCATTGTCACTATTCCTCCTCATACAGATTTTTAAAATGTGATAAACATTGGAGTGGAACGGCTA